TTTAGACTTCTCATATTGATATTTGTTAAATTTAGTAACGAAAACTTCTATTTTACCAATTGTTGAAAAGTAAAATGTCAAAAAAGTGGCAAAACACAATCTTTTATTTCGATATTAGAAATTCTTGAAATTTTTTGTAATTCTAGTAAACTTTCTTCAAATAGCTTTAGAATCTCCAAATCTTGCTGTAATTCACCAACTATTTTTGCTTTATTAATTCAGTAACTATTTGGCCCAAAATTGCTACAAAATCAATGTTTGAAACATTGCTAGAAGAAAAAAATGTTTTATTTTAATTTATTCACATCTCCACACTCAAGTTTATTTAAAAATACCACAATTAAGAGTAAAACACGGTTCAATTGCGATTAAATTCCTTGAGATCGGCAAAAATAAAATAGAACGCGTGCCAAATGTAATGGAAGTTATTTATTTTCAACGATTACATATTTACGACTGGAATTATTATCGGCTCGTAAATATGGCACAAAAAGATAATTTTTTCCAAAAAAATCACACTGAAATTATGCAAAATACAATTTTTTAGCTCACTCTAAATTACAGCAATTACTCGTCTCTTCATCAGGAGACAAAAAACTAATTAGTTTTAAAAAAACTTGACTGTAATCAAGTTTCAGTTTTAATTCGTTTAATTTTCACGCGAGATCTTGCTTTATTCAGAGCCGAGAGAAAAAATTGATTTAATCAGAGACAAATTGCCGATGCGTTGACAACATGGATTAATTGGGGATTTGCGTTTTCAGCATCGGGGATTAAATGGGATGAAAATTTTAATTGTCGCAATTGAAAGGGAATTGTAAAGCTTTAAAAAAAAATACATTTAACCAATCAAATTCCTAACTAGATCAGTTTCTAGTTTATTTTTTGAAAAAAAAAAGAAAAAAAATGTGTCTTTAATGTTTTTTGAATCTTTATACCTCAATGAAATCTTTATATTTTCTTTTATTTTTGTGCTTCTGTTTTTCTAATTCTACTTTTTTATTTCACAGTAATCTTTCAATTGTCACATTGCGTTTGTAAAGTCTTTAAAATTATTTCTCTTTATCTTTAAAAGTCTTAGTTTTTGTCTCTTTAATCTTTATTTTTGTCTTTGCACACACATTTATCCATATTTTAATGTAAACATTTCTCAAAGATACTTTCTTTCAAATTGCAAGCTTTAAATCTGTACAATCTTTAAACTGTATTCACCTTTCAAGAAAGTAATTTTCTTCTATTTCTGTTCTTCTGGTTTCTAAGTCCACTTTTTATTTTGGATATTTATTATCTGTTTAAATTTGTAATTTGTTTTTGAACCAAAGACTCAATTATTTCGGAAAATCATATTCAAACATGTCTAAAAATAATAAAAATAAATTGTAATTGATGTTGTTCTGTTTGTTTCACTTGATTTAACTGATTTTTGAGTAAAATTAAAACAAAAATAAACCGAGAAACTGCACAATTTAGTCAAAAATGCTATTAAAGAAGTTTTTACTAAAATCTCAGTTTTTTCGAAAGATTTTGCTGAAACAATTAAAAAAATTAACAAATTAAGTCAAAAAATATATTATTTCTGCATTTCTCGACCGTTTTAGCATGTAGAAACGGAATTCTTTCTCAAAATTTTGTTAAAAACAAGTTGAAAAAAATAACAAAATAGGCCTTTTTGAGTGTTAAAGCACGTTTTTAAATTGAAAGCAAAAAAAAATCAATTTTAAGATTATAAAACCAAATCAAAATTGATAATTTTTTTTAGTTTGTCTCGTTTTTAAACCAGAGGCTTATTTATTTTGCAAAATTTTGTCCTAAGAATTACAAAAAAAATGAAATTGGTGTTATTTTATTTCTCACTCAATTTAAACGGTTTTGCGCAAAATTAAGACAAAAATGATTGGAGAAACGACAAAATTTATTGAAAAACACGTTTTTGCACTAGAATTTCAAGTTTTTCGAGAGATTTTACTAAAACAAATGGAACAATGAACAAACTAAGTCGAAAATCAGATTATTTCGAAATTTCTGGAGCGTTTTAGCACGATTTTTAAGTAGAAACACAATTATTTCGCTAAATTTAGTTGAAAACAAGTCAAAAATTTGACAAAATAGGCTAAAAATGGCATTATTTTTGCTGTTTTCAAATGTTTAAACTCGTTTTTGAAATAAAAAAATTAATTTGAAAAATTAAAAAACCAAAGGTTCATTGATTTTGCAAAATTATATCCAAACACGCCTAAAAATTAGAAAGAATTATAAAATTTAATTTGTTTCACTCGATTTAAATAATTTTTGGGCAAAATTAAGTCAAAAATAAGCCAAAAAAATCATAAAATGTGGTCAAAAATGCTTTTAAGCATGTTTTTGTACCAAAATCTCAGAGTTTTCGCTATATTTCAATAAAACAAAGTAAAGAAAAATTAAATTTCCCGAGTGTTTTAGCACATTTTTCAAATAAAATCGAAATTATTTCGTAAAATTTTGTTTTGATCTGACGAGTAAAAACGGAACACCTTGTATACATTCCGGGTAAAAATTGACCAAATTTTGACAAAAATCAAAATCCCCAGAAAAGTGTTAAAATTTTTTAAACATTTTTTTCATATTTCTAGTTCTGGCTTCTCTTTCACCCGCTATAGGGTGTTAAAAAAAGATTGTAAAACATTTCAGGAGGTAAAAGTATGGACTAAAATAAACAAAAAAGTCTTAGATATCAAACATTATTCGTTTTTTAAAATATTTATTTGCCTTGTAAAGACTTTTTTGTTTATTTTGGTCCATACTACTAATATGTTACATTTTTTTTAAACACCCTGTATACAGATAAAGACATTTATTAATAAGTATAATAAGAGAGAGAGAGAGAGACAGAGTGAATAAGAAAGAGAAAGAGCATAAGAGCTTTTTTATTGTAAACTCGAATATTATGTGTTTTTGAGAAAAAATCAAAATCCCCAGAGAATTGTTAAAATTTTTTAAACATTTTTCCATATTTCTAGTTCTGGTTTCTGTTTCACGCTCTACAGGGTGTTAAAAAAAAATTGTAAAATATTTCAATAGATAAAAGTATGGACTAAAATAATCAAAAAATACAGAGATGTCAAAGATTATTCGTTTTTTAAAATATTTTTGTTTATTTTGGTCTATACTACTAATATTTTACAATCTTTTTTAACACTCTGTATACAGATACTAAGACATTTTTTTGATGAGAAAATACCAATTTTGGGAGTGTTTTTTTTTGACTAGACTTATAAAATTTATTTTTTATAATAAGAGAGAGAGAGCGCATAAGAGCAAAGCATAAGAAAGAGAAAGAACATAAGAGGTTTTTTATTGTAAACCCGAATATTTTGTGTTTTTGAGAAAAAATCAAAATCCCCAGAGAATTGTTAATATTTTTTAAACATTTTTTCCATGTTTTTGGTTCTGGTTTCTGTTTCACCCTCTACAGGGTGTTAAAAAAAGATTGTAAAATATTTCAGGAGGCAAAATATGGACTAAAATAAACAAAAAAATCGGAGATGTTTTTTAAGACATTTATTTTCAATCTGTTTAAATAAAAAAATACTTTGTAAAAACTTTTTGTTTATTTTGGTCCATACTACTAATATTTTACAATCTTTTTTTAACACCCTGTATACAGATACTAAGACATTTCTTTGATGAGAAAATACCAATTTTGAGAGTGTTTTTTTTGACTAGGCTTCAACTTAAAAATTATTTTTCTTGGAGCAAAAAAAACAATGATTTTAACATTTTTCTTTAATTCAAATTTAAATATTAATTCTAATAAGAGATGGCGGGCACATAAGAGCGCGAATTTTAAAACAGGTGCACATGTACGAATAAGTATAATAAAAGAGAGAGTGTGTATAAGAGCAAAGAATAAAAAAGAGAAAGAACATAATAGCTTTTTTATTGTAAACCCGAATATTATATATTTTTGAGAAAAAATCTAAATCCCTAGAGAATTGTTAAAACTTTTTAAATATTTTTTCCGTATTTCTAGTTCTGATTTCTGTTGCACCCTCTACAGGGTGTTAAAAAAAGATTGTAAAATATTTCAGATGGACTAAAATAAACAAAAAAGTCGGGATATCAAAAATTATTTGTTTTTTAAAACATTTATTTGCTTTGTAAGACTTTTTGTTTATTTTGGTTCATACTACTAATATTTTACAATCTTTTTTTAACACCCTATATACAGATACTAAGACATTTTTCGGTGAAAAAATATCAATTTTGGAAGTGTTTTTTTTGACTAGACTTCAACTTAAAAATTATTCTTGGAGCAAAAAAACAATGATTTTAACATTTTTCTCTAATTCAAATTTAAATATTAATTCTAATAAGAGATGGCAGAGTGCGAATTTGAAAACATGTGCACATGTTCTAATAAGTGTAATAAGGGAGAAAGAGAGAGAGAGAGAGAGAACGCATAAGAGAAAAGCATAAGAAAGAGAAAGAGCATAAGAGCTTTTTTATTTTTTTTTATTATAAACCCGAATATTATATGTATTTGAGAAATATCAAAATCTCCAGAGAATTGTTGAAATTTTTTAAACGTTTTTTCCATGTTTTTGGAATATCTTATTTGTCAATTTTTTCTGAAACACCTTCTACAGGGTGTTAAAAAAAGATTGTAAAATATTTCATTAGATAAAAGTATGGACTAAAATAATCAAAAAAGTCGGAGATATCAAAGATTATTCGTTTTTTTAAAACATTTTTGTTTATTTCGGTCCATACTACTAATATTTTACAATCTTTTTTTAACACCCTGTATACATATACTAAGGGAGTGTTTTTTTTGACTAGACTTCACTTAAAAATTATTTTTCTAGTAGCTTCCTTGGAGCAAAAAACAATGATTTTAACAAATCGCCTGTTTTCCTGGTTCTGGGCCGCAGCCAACTCCGCGACCTTGCAACTTTCCTCCGAAATAAATCCTCACTTTGTCACCGGACTATCTACCAACATTTTTTCGTTTTTTTTTTCAGAGTTTATTTACAAAATGCTGGTGGATTTTCACGAGATAAATTCGTAGATTTAAAGCAGCGATAAATAGAGTGCCAGTCAGGATGTCGAGCGAACCGGATATGAAGTTGAAGGAACATTCATCAGGGACGGTTAGGAGGAAACACCGATCGCGATCTACCCCAAGATACAACGATGTGGAAAAACCGAGGAAAAAGAGACACATCAGTGCGGCAACGTCGCTGGTGACGCTCCCCAACACGATTAAATTGTCCATGCTTAACAGTGGACTTCTGCCTACTAGCAGATATAACAGTAAGTGTTATCGCTGTTATCGGGGATGAAATGTGGGGAGGGTCGTTAAGGGATGAAATGGGGTGAAACTGGGTTTACTTACTTCACTCTTAATTTTAGACTGAAATAATGCAATTTGTGATATTTTGAATCGATTTGGCTCAATTTTAAGTTGGAAATCAAGCTAAATCAAAGAATTTCAACCAAATACTGGCTCTAATAAGAGTTTTCTTTTAAAATATAGCAATTTGAGCTATTTTCAATCCAATTTTGCTCGATTTTAATGCAAAATTAATTCAAAACTAATGTATTTTATTAATATAATTGCTTCAACCTTAATTTTAGGCTGAAATAAAGCAATTTGTGATATTTTGAATCAATTTGGCTCAATTTTAAGTTGGGAATCAACCTGAATCAAAGTATTTCAACCAAATACTGATTTAAATAAGAGTTTTCTTCGAAAATAAAGCAATTTGAGATATTTTCAATACAATTTTGCTCGATTTTACTACAGAATTAATTCAAAATTAATGTTTTTATTAAAATAATTGCTTCAATTCTAATTTTAGGCTGAAATAAAGCAATTTGAGCTATTTTCAATTCAATTTTGCTCGATTTTAATATAGAAATAATTCGAAGTTAATGTATTTTGTAAATATAATTGCTTCAATCCTAATTTTAGGCTGAAATAAGGCAATTTGTGATATGTTCAATTGATTTGGCTCAATTTTAAGTTGGGAATCAACCTAAATCAAAGTATTTCAATCAAATATTGGCTTTAATAAGAGTTTTCTTCCAAAATAAAGCAATTTGAACTATTTTCAATTCAATTTTGCTCGATTTTATTATAGAAATAATTCGAAATTAAAGTAAGTAAGTAAAAGTATTTTTTCTTTTAGCAACTAAATTTTTATTGATTTAAAAAAAAATTGTCAAATACATACAGGGTGTGTCAGATTTCGTGCCCCAGAGAAATAAAATATTTCAAAAATTTTATGTTAAAAAATTGATCTTGTATACAG